CCATTATTGCTCATCACCACCCGCTATCACAATCCACCACCACCATCCATCATTCCCACCATCGTCGTTATTCACTGTCGCCTACCCCCATCAAACTTACGACCACCACCAATCTTCATCACCCACTACTGTCACCCCCCACTGTCATCCACACCTACCATCATCACTACCACCACCGTTATTTACCACAACCCATCACACTGTCGTTCTAAAGTACTAGTCATTGCCCACCACCTCCATCATCACTGCCCACCACCACATCTCACCACTGTTGTCACCCCACCACCACCACTGTCAACCACCATCACCGTCACCCACAACCATTACTGCCATTACACATGACTGTCACCACCACTAGCATCACCATTTCTACCCATGATTGCCACCATCACCATGATCGTCGCCAGTCTCCACAACCATCATCATCCCCATACCACCACCACCACTACCACTGTTTACCCCAACTATAATTGGTGTTTAAATTTTTTTTTCTTTGTTTTATGTTTGTAATTTAATTTTGAGTGTAAATATAAATATATTTATTTTTGACTATTTTTTTATTATTTTGTACCTTCAAGCAATAATTAGTATTCTAATATTAATACTCTTGATTAGGGGTGTTAATCGAGACAATCGGCTTGGGATCGAGCTTTGCTCGAGCTCAATTTGTGTTACGAACAAATTAAGTTTAAATAATTTTTTAGACACATTTAAAAAAATTAATATAAAAAAATGCAGTTTGATGTCGCAAAGCTCAAGTCATCAGCTCGAGTTCAACCCGGGTTTAAGTTCGACTCATTTTTTAAATAAGTCAAACTTAAATAATTTTTAGGCTCGTTTATTAACATACTTTGGTTCAAGCTCGCAAAACCCAACTCATTATAACACCCTTACTTTTAGTCTATTTTTTATTTGTTTAAAATTTACATACCATATTAGTCTACTAGTAACAATTTGTGCTCGAAGGAATTATGCAACACAAAAAATTAAGCACCGATCGTGCAATAAAAGTATGTTCAATTAGTGCAGTATTACTCTTTTTTTTTAACAGGAAATTATGGCTTTCATTCAATTAAGAGTAGAACGATTACAATCATAAAGGATAAAACCTTTTTAACTCGGGTGGGAGACAGCTAATCCAACTCACTGGAAAGAAGTTGTTCATGGCTGATTCTACCATCCAATGAGCAACCATAATATTGTCTCTTGCCTTGTGTAAAAAATTAATATTTAACAACCTAGCATAATGTCTTAAATCTTCAATGAATATTGTGATTATGCATTGGGGAGTATCTTCGTAACATCTCTAACAATAAAAGTTAGTTTAGTTACTCAAAAAGCAACATTTTATATTTTAGCAATTCACTTTTTTAATACACGCTCCAATTGATTTTCTTTATTTTTAATTATTGTATTTAAATATTATTTCTCATTTTTTTCTATTATTTTTCTTTGAGAAAAGTGAGAGGGAGAGGGAAAGATAATGGAAGAAAAGAAATGATGAGAGAGAAAATATTATAAAATATTTATACATATTACTACGGTGACACTTTAAATATAGAGTATCACGGTAGCAAAATACTATTTTAAAGCATCTCCAAAAAATTAATTAAAGTACAAAAAAATTTTAAAATTTAGTTATTTTACTCTAAAATTCCACTAAAACTGAATATCTCCAAAGCATATAAAATAGTATTTTGCTATAGTGATACTGTAGCAATATATATAAACTTTTTTTAATATTTTCTCTCTCCTCCTTTCCTTTCCTTCCTTCTCTCTCTTTCACTATTCTCAAAGAAAAACAATACAAAAGAAATGAGAAATAATATTTAAAAAAATAGTTAAAAATATAGAAAATTTGTTATAATGTGTTAAAAAAGTGAGTAACTAAAACAAAAAATTTTATTTTTTGAAATGTTAAACTAATTTTTTTTATGGAAGATGCTCTTACATATTTTGAAGATATTCTATTAGAGTTAAATTTTAAAGGTTTTATGGCTTTTACCCACTCTCCTTGAAATGCTTTCAATTAAGCATAGTTTGATGACTTCCAAGCCATCATTAATCAATTTTTTTTTGGTGAACATTAATCAATTACTCGTTGAAAATGATGGCTACTGTTCAGTAGCTTTTAACAGGGACTTGACTATGGTAAATGGGTATTTTTATAATTTTTGTAAGTTGATTTATAATTAAAAAATTATTATTTTTGTAAAGAATTTATTATTTTTGTAGATATTTTTATCACTATTGCATATATTTTTACAATATTTGTAATAACTATTTTTACCAATTTTCTTTGGTACAAAAAAATTTATCACATTTATGAGTGTTTTTATTATATTTGTGAATACTTTTACTATTGTTGTGATAACTATTTTTAGGGAAAATTTCAACCAAACCCTCTCTAGTTTATCATATTTTCAATGATACCCCCTCTAATTTTTGAATTTTCAATGACACCCCTGTCAGATTAAAAATATTAAGTAGAATGTAATTTTATTAAATTGCCCATGATATATTTGATGACCAATTTCATCCACATCCCCTCTAGATAAACATATATTCAATGAGACCCCCTCTAGATAAGTATATTTTTAATAAGACCCCTTCTGTTTTCTAATTTTTTTTATGTAATTAAATTTGAACCAATTAAAATCGATTCAAGCTAATTAAAATTTATTTTTTTACATATTATAATTTATGCCAATTAAAAATTATATTTTTTTTACGTATTAGAATTTGGGCTAATTAAAATTTTGTTTGAGCCAATTAATTTTTTTTTAATCAACTTAAATCAAATTTTAATTAATTCGCATTGAATTTTAATCACCCCAAATTTTAATATATAAAAATATATGAATTTTAATTGACTAAAATTTTAATAAATCTAATTTTAATTGACACGAATTTTAAGAAGTAAAAATATATAAATTTTAATCGACTCGAAAGAAAATTTTAATTGGTACTAACAACTCGGTTCAAATTTTAATATGTAAAAAAAAAATTAATAGGCTCGATTTTTTTAAAAAAATTACGAATTAATAAATAACAAATTAGTATTTACTAACAAATTATTTGCTAAAATTATTATTTATGATTTTTTTAAAAATTTTAGCATCTCGAATTTTAATAAAATTTTATGTAAAAAAATTACTTGAGGTTATGTAGGGGCATTTTTGGTATTTTAGATGATTTTTTTTTTTAGAAATAGTAGTTTAATGGTAGGGGGTATTAATAATATTTAAATTAAACTAGAAAGGTCTCATTGAAGATTCAAAAATTAAAGGGAGTGTCCTTAAAGATATGTTAAATCAGAGGGCCTGACGTTGAAATTTTCCCCTATTTTTGGGGTACCACATCAGTGGTAAAAGGATTTACAAATATAATAAAAGTGATCACAAATATAATAAATTAATATACGACACCAATTTTTTTTTTGATACTATAATCAAATCATTCCAATAGAGGAGGAATTATTTCATATGTTTAGAAAACACCAATGATTTTTCATCGGTGTCCTTCATCTAACTCACGTGATATGCACATACCTTGTTTTATTTTACTAGTTTTAATGAAATCGAATGGAAGAATCATATTTAATCAAATAAAAACTTGAAGAAGAACTCAATTAATAAAAAATTAAGGCTAAGGACTTAATTAAAACCGACAGTGTAATTCACAAGTCATTCGAATAATTTATATTCATTCGTTTACAGCTCAACTATTGACTCTTGAACAGTTACATCTTACGAACTTTGAGTGACGCAAAACCTATGTGCTTCATCGCAGGCATCCGAGGCTTACTTGTGAAGATTTTTTTTTTGCTAAATATAAATTGAAATTAAGTAAAAAAGGATTATAAAATATATCAAGCATCGAGGCTCGACACATCACCCTACCTTGCGTCGGGACTTTAGGCGATTTAACAGTTCTTAAACTAACACGTGGATTGATACAGCTGTTATGGAACTCAAAAAGCACTGAATAATTATTTTTTAGAAGAACTGAGTGAATAGGTTAGAATCAGTATTTAAGGAGATATGTCAGTTCATTAATAAGAACTTAAATAACTATGACAATGCTATTAACGAGTCTCTGCATCCTCGAGACCTCAAATTGACAGTCATGATTACAAAACATTAATAATTATAGAGCTGACCAGGTGTCCTCAACAAATCCCGAAATACTGTACCTCAAGCATTAAAAACTCGAAAATAGGTGTCAAACACCAATCAAAAGAACTTAAATGACCAAAGTAGTCATAATAGCACTTGTCCTATCAAGAAATCTGAGTGAAAACACTTATTATACGTGGAGAAGAGTGCAAGTCATTAAATGTTGTGATAGGATTCAAGACCTTTGCACTCATTACTAGTATAAATATAAATACTTATCAAAAAAATGAATAAAGATACACAAATTAAACTGAGAAAAATGCATTGTGCTCAAACCTCTAACGCTCACTAACTTAAGCTTCGGAGAAGATAAGCTGAGTGTTCATCCGACCCCTTTCCTAATCTTTATTAGTCTTTTCAGGTTCACCATCAAGAGGATCGTTATCTCTATTCATTGAAGGAATTCTCCCGTGCACCTTAGAAAATATTACTTCTTAATAAATAAATAAAGTTAATAACATTTTTTGTTCTTAAAATATAAACATTTTGTTAAAAATGACAATTTTATCCTTAAAATATTTAATTAAATGGTGTTTACACAAATAGATTGAAATAATCAAGTGATATTTTAAAAAAAATGACAAGTTGTAATTTTTATCAAAAAATTTATCGAATTATTTGATTAGAGACAAATTGTATAAATTAAAATTTTAAAGACTAAATTAATATAATTAATACAATAAATATTAAATCGATAAAATCAACATAATTTAAGGAGAAAAAATATTATTAACCCAAAAAAAAAAAAAAAAAAAAAACCATGTCCCATGTGCAACGGATAAGCAATCCGACACATCACATTGGTCACCAATAAAAAGAAAGCTAAGTTGGAGTTGGATCGACGCTCTGAGGTGGGCCCCACCGGTCTTCAGCAGATTCCCTAGTTCCACATGGATCCGATTTTTCCAAGCAGAAGAGTATAAACCAATGAATCCCCTCCACGTGGTGCAAACGCATCATCACAGCTTCATAAAACGAGAGAGATGGGTCGGGTTGATAATACCAGGCAAGTGGGCCCCATTTCCCTTGAGCAGATCCGCTACTTCTACGTACCTCTGATACTTCTCTACACCCGCATTGGACTTCACACTCGCTTCATCTGCTTTCTGGCTATACTTCTGCTTCCTAAACTCGGCTGAATCTGTTGATACAGGCACAGCCTCGGCTCGAGCTGGATCCCACGGCTCACCGAAAAGAGTGCCCTTCGTCAGAAACTCGTGAGCCAAATAACCAGCCAGAAGCTGATTATTCATATCCGGCTGGGAAGGTCTGGGAGTGGTCGGCTTGTCAGCTCTATGAACACTCGGCTTGGCTAGCTTTGAGGTTGTTAACGGGTTCACGGCGTCAAGGCCGTCTCTGTCTTTCCGCTTATTTGACGGCACGGACGTCAAGTGTCGACGTGGATGGTTCAGCATTATTGCACTCATGACTCGTTGTGTACCACGTCAGCATCAATAGGTTACCAGAAATTCGAGACACATATTGGGAAAATGAAAATT